TCTATCCTTTAAAATGTATATTCTGATTGCTATTTATTTATAAAATAAATAGCATGCAGTTTATTATACTTTTTTAATCATAAATTAGTATCAGTAGGCACTATTATTATAAATTAATTCAAAAAAACAATACCTGATTACTGCTTATTTATAAAGTTAACTATTATCTGTTAGTGTCGATTTTTTGAATAAATTATGATATGATTTCGATTGTTATTTATTTGTATTGTTTATCATCATTAGCATATAATAAATAAATGTGATAGTAAAATACATAAAAATCCGTAAATAAATAGAAATACAATTTAAAGCAATTACATATGAAAATTTCTGTTTATCAGGATTACTGCCATATATTTGACAGGTTTTCTTTGACCTACTGTGAACTTACATAGTGTAAATCGGCTATATATATTATGGATGGGTATAATGCTATCTCTGTTGATTTCGTAAAATCGTATTTCTACAATTCAATATTATAAACGTTAATATCATTGATAATTTGACAATAGAATCTTGTTTGATGATTTAGTGCAGGCAAGAACCATTTTACATATGCCAGGTAATATTTACGTTTACCATCTGGAGGGTTTACTTCATATTCAAAGTAGAATTGTACTTGATCAGGATACACATCACATATATTGTTATCATGAATAAATCTCGTAAGAATGAAAGAATTCTTATAAAATCGTGATATATTTATTGATCTGAAAGTCTCAGCGCTAATCCGTATTCTTTTAAATTGGTTGATAGTCAGTCTAACAACAGTCTGTCGACTGGAATGTTGTATATTCATTCGAAGTAATTCCGCAATAGTTACAAAATCTGAATCATAGATTGTGTTATAATATTCTACCAGAATATTATAAATGTTATCTGGTAAGTTAACATTGCTTTTTTTGGGGGATAACATCTCTTCTGGTAAAGTTTCTGAACTCATAATAGTATCATTTATTTCCAGATGATAGATTTGCAAAAAATGAGCTAGCTTCACATATTCGAAATTATCATAAGCGGCTAAGCTTTCCACAGTTGTTCTTGGTTGTATGAACTTCAAGCATTTTACAAGTATCTGATTATTCAAATGACATGATATAAGGTCGTCCAGTCTCCAATTGTGTAATATTATTTGCTAATTCAGGCTCTATTTTACGATAGACCTGTTCAATTCTGATTGATGCATTTTTTGATGCATATTGTGATTAATCAATCACAATTCATAATTTTGATATACAAAATTGAACAGAGTTGATGCATAGATTAATGGTATGACATATTCTAAAATGTTTAAAAAACAAGAAATAGAAAATGTGTTCCTTTTAACAACTATTCAAGAATTTCTTTATGAAAGTGAAAGTGATTCTGAAAAAAACAGTGATTTTGAAGAAGAAACTGAAGTTAATGATTTAATTACCTTTAATTTACTTTTACTTTCAGAAATAAGATATTCTAATACCCGTTTATATACAGTAATATTCCAAAGTCTTCTTACTAGTATTATGAAGTTTTACCAACTTATGATAATAACCGTTTTAAAAAATATTATGAATGCCATTTGAACATTTTAAAACTTTAGTTAATTTAATTTCTGATCATGAAAATTTTCAAACTAAAGGACAAAAAAAAACAAGCACCAGTAGAATTATAATTATGCAGTTTTTTTACATAGAATTGGAGGTAAAAGTAATATTTTTGAAATATGTTCACGATTTGGTATTGCAGAAGGAACTGTAATTTTATATATAAAAAGAGTAATCAAAGTAATAATTTCAAAAAAATCATTATTTGTTCAATGACCAAAAGAAGAGCAGCGAAAATTAGTTCATAAAGGATTTCAATTAATTGGTGGATTTAAAAATGTAATTGGTGCTATTGATGGAACTCATTTAATTTTAAACGATAAACCTTCTAATTCTCCAGAATTATATTTTAATCAAAAAAAATGTTACTCAATTCAATGTTAAGGAATAGTAAATTTTCATGGAATTTTTATTAGTTATGATATAGGTTAACCAGGTTCAGTACATGATGCAAAAGTTTATAAAAATTCAAGTTTTTATAAAAAAAAATGAATTAATTATCAATAATGATTATTTACTTAGAGATTCCGCATATCTAATTTCACCATTTTTAATAATACCTTTTCGTTTATCATCAAATCAACAACAAAAAAAATTTAATTTAATACATTCAAAATATAGGGTTGTAGTAGAAAATGCTTTTGGAAGATTAAAATCAAGATTTGTTTCTTTAAAAGGATGCTCTGTTAAAAAAGTTAAACATTTAATTCTTTTTGCTGATTGCATTATAATTCTTCATAATTTTTTAGAACTTAATGAAGATATTTGGGATTTAGATTTAAATTTAAATTTAGATGTAAATGACGAAAATCAAGAAAATAATGATTTTAATGATAATGAATTAAAATTAGCAGGTCAATACAAAAGAAATAATATAATGTTTAATAATAAACTTTATTATGAATAAAACTTTTATTGTTTATTATTATATTTAAATTCCATTTCTTTTAATTGTCTTTCATATTTTAATTAAACTTTAAATTTTTCATATCTGTTTGTACTTTTAATTTTTCAATTTCTAATTTATCTTTTTCAATTGCTAATTCTTGATCAGCTCTTTCCTTTCTAAAATTTAATTCTTTTTCTTGTAATTCATACTTTTTTTCCCACATTTTTTCTCTTGCCAAACTCATTGCTAAAATAGCATTTTTAATAGAGTTAGTTGAAGTTTTAGATCTTTTGTTTTTAGATCTAATAACTTGTTTTTCTTGTTTTATAGATTCAATATCGATTGTTGATCCATCAGATATAAAACTTAGACTTGTTGTTTCATGCATTCCTAAAACCTCATCCAGTTGTTCATACCATTTCCAATCTATTCTTGCAGCTTCAGTTTAATTATTTTTTTGCTTAATTTTATCATATTGACGCATTAATCTTCCTATTTTATTTTTTATTTGTTCACTAGAAAATTTTGAAAGAATTTTAGCTGAAACTGAATCATAAAACTTACTTTTATTGCTAGACCATATTGAAACATTGTTCTGAATATATGCAATAAGTAAAGTAATTTCATAATTGTCCTATTTAGATGATTCTTTTTCAATATTTTCTACTGATGCTTTTCTTTTTTTATTGCCTTGTGATTTTGTTTTTGATGAACCAGCATTATTATTATTGTTATTAAACCTGTTTTTAAATAAAAAAAAATGATGTGTTAAATATATATATATAGAAAGAGAGAGAGAGAGTAAAATAATTCATGAAATAATACCTTCATATTAGGTTGATTTTGAATTTTAAGAGGTTGAAGAGGTTAAGATGGTTGAGACAGTTGCTGCTGTTATAGTTATTGTAGCAGTTGCTGTTATTGTAGTTGTTGAAGTAGTTAGAAGGGTTGAGAAATAATAAATGGATATGGCATCATTAAAGAACTTGAATAAAAAGTACTCAGATTTTTAGAAGGAAGATAATTTCTTGAAAATGAATCCATATTATCGTTATTATATAATTTTGAAAATTCTACATTTTCACGTTCTTCAAAAATATTTGCCTGCTGATATTTTGGAAGTAAAGGTAGCAAATTCTTAAGTTATTGTTTTTAATTTTTAGTTATATTATCCATAACAATAAGTACTTATAAAATAAAAAAATGCATAACGCGAAAAAATTTAAAGTTCATTTTTGATGAATGAGAAGATTTCTAAAAAAATAGTGTGACATAAATTTAATTGGCTGTTTAATAATTTGCATCAAGTGCATCTACAAAAAAGTTAGTGCATTCAATGCAAATTTGATGCAAAATTTTAGCCAATCATACTGCTCAAAATTTGCATCAAAAATTGTATCAATTGGAATTGAACAGGCTTAATGACAAACTAGACATTATTAGGCATAGTAATTTTATTAAGAGATCTTATTAGTGGATCAAGTTTTTTAGATATACTTTTTTTAATATACAATCTCTTGCGTAAATACACTGAGGAAAAGGTTTATTTTATACTGTATGCTTATTACACGCGAAAAGAAAATTTAATCTGATTTAATAAAAGTTATATTGCTTTATTGTATGTATTAGTCACAACTACATTTTTCATAATTACATTGCTCGTAGATGCCTGATTGTTGAAATAACAATACATGACACGTTAACAGTGTGAAATCAGTATTATGAATACTAATAAAGTACTGGAAAATTTGCTATTTATTGCTAAGATCATTTGTTAATCTGCGGGAGATAGCTAGTATTTCTTTTTTCGAATTAATGAGAAAAAGCTGACCCTTATTCGTGCCCTTTACAAATCTATTAATGATCGTAAATGGAAATTTATTTTATTATGTAAAATGTAGCCAGAGGCATATCCCTTACATTTCATAGGATCAAAGATCTGTAAATTAGTAGATTAAGAGGCACAATTTCCATTCTTGTTCCATTCTAACAACAGGAACATTAGATTAACTTGCGTGATACTAATTCAAAGATTCATAATATATATATTCTTTGCTGAAACTTTATATTTTAAAACACGTGATTATCACATGTTCATTACATTATTTTTTTATCATCATTTGCATTGTTAACAGGCATTATACAATGCATTGTAAAAGTACAATTATTTGTGATCACTTTATTGTTTAAATCAATGTAATTATATTTGTAAATTTATTAATTCATTATTATAAAAACATTGTAAAACCATTAATATCATATTTATACATTATTGTAAAATTATTGTACAAACGTTATAAAAATATTAATATTTAAATTGCTGTATAATAAAATTCATTTTTAAAATATTAATTATTTGATAAATCATGTGAAGAAGCTGTACACATAGAGTGACAACAATGTACAAAATGATTTTTTGGAAGATTATCTATAAGAGTTATTGGATAGACCCGATACCACTGCATGTTATTAGCCATTTGTACTTCATAAACTGGACATTGAAGAATTGGATCAAGTGTTAAGCTCTTTCACAACCAATCAACCCAAATAAATGCATATACTAAGCCATTATTATACTTATGTGTGAATAATGCCTTTATTATAGCGTAAGAAATATCATTCTCTTCTTGCATCTGTACTATATCACCAGCATGTATATCTAAATTCATGTTAAATTTGCCATCATCGTCTATAAGGGTATAACTTATTTGTTTGTAAAATTCCACGCGTTTGTGTATTAAAGCAGCCTTTTTTTACATATAGATATCATATGCGCTTATAGTATCATGGGTAAATTGAAGATTTCTATCAAGTTGTACAGGTAAAGCAATTTTACGGATTTTATCTCTAAATAAACGCTTTTGTGCTTTGATATTTATTATTTTATCATCATGTGATGAAATATTTGTACCTATTATAATAAAAAATCATTGTTAAATTTGTTATGTTGAAAATAATAAAGATCATAGATTGAATATCGTAAAGAATGTAAACTGATGACTTTAAAAAAAGAGAATAAAAACAAGTTAGAATAAAATAGACAAAACTAAAAAAAATAATAAAAAGATATAACCCTTCTATCGTAAAGATAACTAACCAAAATTCTAATTGAATTGTTTGATTTAATGATATAATCTGATATTTACAACTGATTGTCATAAGCATTATATTAAATTCAATTAATATGTCATTACCAAAACTGGTTTCGGCATTATTTAGTTTCAATTTCAAAAAATATCAAAACTTCTGAGATCGACAAGTATCACAGAAAATGATTACACTTACTAATAATGATTGTATCTTCCTTTTGAATATTTTGAGTCATATACCAATCAGATAATATAGGTTGAAGCAATGGATCTGTATTGAAACTTTGAAAGCCCTGTCCAATATTTGAAAATCGATTGTCTTTACCTTCATCAATTAAATAATATATCGTTTGAAGTGTATTATGCCGACGAATCAAATCAAATTCAATATTCTTTCGATTCATTTTAGAAACTGAACCTTTGAATGTTCGATGTACCATTTCTTTTACTCCCACAGAAATATTCACAAGTGTTCCAAAGTTGCATGCATTATGGACATGATGTTGGTTTATATGTAGATTCGGTAAATTCCTAAAATCATTTGAAAAAAGCTAAAAATATAATATAAATAATATTAGAGTTATTTTTCTCTTTTAATCATTATAAAAAATTATATTGATTCGTTAGACTTCGAATTCATGAGAATTATAATAGTTTCCAATTTAAAAATATTACTTTTAATAAAAGATTATGTTCAATTCTCAAAGCCTCTTCTAATTCTTTATATGTTTGTTCAGTAAAAGTGAAACTAAAGCTTAAACGGGATGCTTTAGCAATAGCTACCCAACACGAAATAATTGCATTCATAATTTATATAGATGATGGTGTCTTTGGGCGTGAATTTATCGATATTGTAAGTTGCCTTCGAAGTAAAACTAGATCATTATCTTTGATATGTGAAATTGTTAAAAATCGCCATAACAAGAACGGCATTATCATTGCCAATCGCAAATAATCAGAAAATATGAAGCTGTTACAGTGCTTGATTGGATTGGGAAGACAGTGCCAACTAGATGGTGTTTCAAAACTTCTCCAATAATTTAAAAAGGTAGATTCCCCTCTTAAATTTAATATTAATAAAGTACAATCTATTAATCTTTGTACTTTTCCAGCAACGGCATGGTATACGTCTTAGGAAGTCTGTAAATGCTGGTCTTGTATCAGCCGATTCAAAATACTAGGATGTGTTCTTAACCCATATTCAGTACAATAGTTATTGATTGTTTTTTGCGATGCTCTTTCTTGAACTAATTCCTTTAATTTGTTAATTTTTTTATCTGTGAGATGGCTATATCTTGCATTTAATTTAATATCAAAAGTAAGGTTATTTAATTGTTCTTTAGGTACTAAACAACTCCTACACCCTTGGTTACCACTATGTCATTTTGTATCTGCGAGATCATTCCCTTGGGGTAGATCGGCAGTTATAACACCTAAAGCAGCAATGACCTATATATCTTGACTATTAATATTCATCGTAATACCTTTTTTTAAATTTTTGATTTCATTCACGATTGGTTCCATTACGTTATCAAATTCCCCTCCAAATGGAACAAAATCCAGAACAAAATGGTTCTTTAGTTGTTTTCGTAACTGCAAAGGCATATTACAAAATTGAAGGTAAATTCCGCCCAAAGAGTGATAAACATTGTGAAAAGTTCTGAAGTCATCATAATAAATATCTAACATTAGTTTTAAGATGGGTGTTCCTTGAGATATCATATTCATATTACAGGTATATTCACTTAGATGTTGATGCCGAAATTCAACTTTTCTAATCTTCCATCGACCCTCATAATTGTATATAATTTCACTAACATAAAATTGATAACCATTAACAGGTTGTGAAGTGTCTTGAAGCCAGATATTGATTGGTTCAATAATGTTTTGTAGGTCAATCAAACATGATATTTCACTTAACCATAGTTCTCCATTCTGAGCTCGTTCCAACTTTGTTGAATTTGCAAAAATCTTTGGTAATTCAGAACCATAATAAAGAGGTTGGACCTTCAATTCAATACCACCAGAAGTTGATACTATCACTAGAATCCTTCCAATTCTTGTTCTTTTGTCTTTATATTTAATAAAAGATTCTGTTTTATATAACACTAAATAGAATTTATTAGTTATAGTTCTTCAATAAAACAATCATTGGGCTATAAATATTACC